TATCTAATTGTTTGTACATGTAGTGTTCTCCCTGTGTATATAAACCCCTAAGTAGAACACTTAATGCCAGTGCTTTTCTCTCTCTCTTATCTTCATCTTAGAGTCTTCACAGACTTATAAGACAACTCTTAAGCCTTCTTACTTGCCTTGTGTCTAGTTAACACAGGTAAGGTTTATTGCCACTATTATATTTCAACACACATTGCTCCTGTAGGTATCCCAGTTCGTCAGTAGGACAAGGAGATTGCTTAGGCCAAACATCTACAGCGGTGCGGAATTTATGATGTGGATGTAATAGGCCGCAGGAGGAACATATCCAATGCCAGCACTCACTTGGTAGATATCCATTACCTTCACATTTAATGCAGAAGTGGAGTCATTGAGGCATGGTGCCAGAAACAGGAGTGATGATTGGGAATTCGTGGAGTTTGAGTTGTTCCTCTAGGTTGGCCCCCTTGAGACAAGTTTGGCACTGACTGATTTCTTCCTGGCTATGCAGTAGTTCAGCATTGATGGAACTGCATGCAGCCAGTAGCAGATTGATCTCAGCATCAATGGCCTGGTAATGATCGACCTCGTTGGTTAGGCCTGGGTCCCTAAGGTCTTGTAAGGATGCCCAAAGACTCTCTAACACATTGTCATCTCGCATCAGCAGATACTCCCAAGTGTCCTCCTCCCATTCCTTATCCAAGGAGTTCCAGTTCCCTACAGGTTCAGCAGTGCAAAGTGCGTCTGCCATCATTGTTAATATCCATCGCAGTCTAAATGCCGGATTACCATTGAGGGGAATGCCCATAGGAGGTTGTGTAATGAAGTTAGCATAGGCTCCAGGGAAATAGGGTAGGATGCATTCCAGAGGGTCAATGTCTTGAATCGGAGTAGAGGTGTCAAAGAGAATAGATTGCCACCTCCAGGCAATGTTGTTAGCCAGTCATTGGATGATATTGTCACTGTAAACCACAAATTCTTGTGAATCACTGCTGTGTCCTCCTTCTGATGCCGTGATATATTTGCTGACATTGGCTAAGAGCTGAAGGTTAGGTGCATTACTAAGGCTACCATTGTCAGAGACATTGGATGTGAGGGGAGGTATACTGGGGAAATCTGGTGGGGATGACTCAGCATGGGGATGATCAGGATCTAGAGAGGATGAGATAGCCATAGGCAATGAAGAAGGGAAGAATTGTATAGGGGCCATGTGGTAAGAGCTGGTGGATGCTTCTGAATCAGTTGGGGGGACTTCTATAGGTCCTGGGAATTGATGTAGGACCACAGCATCATTGCTAGAAGAGTTTGAAGGTCCAGGAATAAGGAACAGGCGGTGAGTGACATGTGACAGGGGTGCAAAAGGATAGCAAAAACCTCCTTCATCAAGAAATTCTAGCAATGAGTTGTTGGATTCCTGCTGGGAAGGGAAGCTTAGGATGGGTTGGATAAGAGTTGGCATTTCTATTATCCCAGCCATGAAGCTCTCTTCTAACGTCTGGAAGTGAGAGGGATAAGGGGTGGGCGCTCTCTGTGGGCCAGTCATTGGAGGATTTGTGTTTCTAGCAGGAGCCAGAGGGCAATGCATATTAGAGAAAGCTGCATTGTTAGTTCTTGTGTGGTTGTTGTGCTTAGCAGGCATGGAAGGTAGGCAGGGAAGGAGGATTTGTTTTGAAAAAACCAGAGAGAGAATACAAAAGACTGCCAGTACTACAGACAAACAAAGACCCCAGGTACTAATCCTGATGCTCCCTAAAGTACTCAAAATAAACCTGTGTGGGGTTATTAGAGTCCCAGTTAGCAGCTATTATGGGGAGAGTGGTGGTGGTATGGGGGAGGGGGCACTGTGTGGTGGCGGCAATGTTGAATGCCTACTGGTGTTCCCGTTTGAGATGTTGGATGGTAAGATGAAGGGTGAGGGGGACAATGAGGGCAAGGGCGAGGACGGATAGGAGGGTGGTGAGGAAGAAGCCCAGAAGGGCTAGGAGTAGGAGGTGGGGGTGTTTGTCGGCGATGGCGAGGATGACGGCAGTGGGGGGGGCAACTTGGTTCACCACTAAGTAGGTCAGTGAAAGGTGTGGGAGTTAGTTCAACAGAGGACGTTACTTGTGTTCCATTATTGGCCTAGTTAAGAGCTTGTTTAGCAATGGGGGTGGTGATGGGGGTGGGGGTGCATTTGAGGTGAACCTTGAATGTGTACATCTCCTTTAGAAAGAAGACAGCAAGGATGAGGATAAGGATGAGGAAGGCAGTGGGGAACCAGCTGATGAGGAGGAGGGTGACAAGGATAGTGACGGATGCCATTGAGGGGATAGAGAGAGGGCAGTTCTTATAAGAGGTTACTCTTTGTTTGGTTGCAGGAAGTCTGCCAAAGTGTCTTTGGCATGTGAAAGCTTGGTTTTCAGCAACCAGGAATCATCTGAGACCGGGTATCCTTTCTACATGACCTGGTATAGGGTTCGCTTGCCAACAGTCTTTGAATCAATGATACATTCAATTTCAAACTCTTCCTGGTTTTTGATGAGTTCCAGTGGGGGTTGGAGATAGTTCTTTCTGTGTATTATTGTTTCCAAATATGGATAGAGTAGTTTGGCATGGAACACAGGGTGGATCTTCTATTTGGGCGGTAGTTTCAAGCAATAGACTACCAATAAGAGCTTCTGATTGGTGGTGAAGGGTCCATAATGCTTTGGTCCAAGCTTTGCCTTTGGATGAAGACCTTTAAGATTGGTTGCTTCTAACCATACCTTCTGTCCAGGTAGGTATTCAACAAACTTATCCTTGTTTTATTTCTTTACTGTTTCTTCCGCTAGCCAAATACTGGATTGAATTTCTGTACAAAGGTGTGCTAGTTGAGTAAGTCTAGAAGTGATGTCTGGAGCATCAGTTGTTCCCACAATGGGAATATTATACCAGGGTTGGTAACCTATGAGTGCCTGGAAGGGTGATGTTCTGATTGCATCATGATATCTATTGTTGTGCACAAATTCTGCTAGTGGCAAATGATGTGTCCAGTCCATTGCTCGGTGATTGCAGAAGATCCAAAGGTATAGTTCCAGGTCTTTGTTACAGCTTCATGGGGGGTTTCTTTTCTTTTCCTGACTATTCGTCGTTGACCCTGTACTATACAACTGATCCCATCACTTGATGTGTTTCACATACATCAGTGTTTCATATCTATCATGTTTCATCTCTATCATGTTTTATCTTTATCATGTTTCATATCTATCACATTTCACCTTCATCACTGATACAACCCAGTGAAACCTGTTTCATGTATATCACTGATCCAACTCAGTGTTTCATACTTATTAAAAGTCTATTCA